GGATAAGTTATAACAGAAAGGAACCGAGTGTTTGCCACAAATTCAATATGAATTCTCTGTATCTGATTATTTGATCTAACAGAATTAATAGCTTTAAGTGGCAAAGACTCAATTTCTTAAGAAAAATAATGCACAAACTAAAACTGACCTTATGAATTGAAATATCTGAGAGAACACTGCTCGGTTTCCTTGAGTGACCTCTCGGCGAGGTTTCGGGTATAAAGGCGAGGTTGACCTCGCCCCCGGACAAGGTACTATTCGTGTCATTCTCCGAGGTCACAGAGGAGCCTCGGTCCTGGTCTATGTATTCCTTGTCAGCCTCGATACTTTCTACATCCATGGTTTCCTGTTTTTCTTTAACTTGAAAAATATTATGTTCTGTGTTTGATTGTTCTCCATTAAAAGGTTGATGTCCTCCACCTTGCTCGATGTCCTCTGTATCTAGTTTATCCATGTTTACTGAAGGTTCATCAAGACGTTTGGGAGAAACAACAATTAGATCTGAAAACACAGGATTTTAATAAATTTTGTGCAATCATGGAAGGGCAAGAACTTTTGCGTTGTATATCTCGGGATCAAGCATTGATTAATCTAACTATTCGATATACTGGGGGATTAAGCATTTATACTTAAATTCAAAAGTGCCCACATCGGATATCGAGATCAATCATTCAAAATTGATTTTTTAAATAAAAAAGCAATACACAAGTAGTTGTTAAAAATAAATTAATTGAATACCTTCATATTCTAAACCATTTACCTGAGTCGGGTACAATCCCTTTTGCTAAAGCTTTTACCTGAACTACGTTGACCAGCATGCAGATGGGCAGGCTCTAATATCTTCTTAAAATCAGAATTCTGAAATAAATTTAAAAATTTTAATTATTTTATTTTATATCGAATCTATTTTTTTTTGTTGGAACTAATAAAATATTTTAGCCTGGTTTCAAATTACTAATTTAAATAGAAATATGAATAAGCCAGCTTTATTGGGGTTAAAAACTAAATACTTTTCTCTCAAAGTTCAAATTTTTCATCTGCAATCTAACTATCTATCTATATATCTATCTATCTATCTATCTATATATCGTATCAATCTTTCTATCTATCTATGAGAAAATGATAAACAGGTGTCCATTGTAGGGGGAAGTTTTAGGTTTGCCAAGCATTTCCTGTAAAACGGTTTAAATAATTACTTTTAATCCCCTCAAAATATATCTTATTATTATTATGACTATTATTATTATTATTATTGTTATTAGTATTATCACTATTGTTATTATTAAAAGGGGTAGGGGTGGGCGCCACGGTGGCTCGAATTCCGGGTCAGAATTATATACCCTAACCCAGATATATGATACTGTAGCAAATACCTTACCAACTATATGAGAATATTAATTCAAGCTTCAAGGCGTTATGGAAAGGGGGGGGGGGTTGGCATACCACAATAAACTTCGCAATGTCTTGTTTGATTAAAATATTTGATCAGTAATGTAAATTCAAAACTAGCTGAAAATGAAAATCTAAAAAGTTTAAATTTTTAGCTTACGATTCAACAGATTTCCTATACGTTAATGTATCTTAAAATATCCCCCCGAAAGGCTTTATTAAAATACAGAAAAGAAAAAACTATTGATTATAGAATATATTAAATAGAATTAATATATAATTGAGATGACAGAAAAAATATTTGCAAGGATTTAATAAAGACTATTTTGGAAATTGAAACATGCAAAAATTTTGTAATTTCAGGTTGTTATTAATTTTGATATTACATGGACAGAATTTAGATAATTTATTATTGTTTATTAAAAATAAAGTTGTTTGAATATGATATATAGCTTGTTGTTTAATTACTATAGTTCATTGCATACATTCCTACTTTCCTATGTGGTGGTTGTATAATTTTGTAAAAAATATTTACGATAAATTATCTCAATCAGTCGGCTGTTTAAATATCATTAATTCAGAGTCCGCTGATCAGAGTTGTAGTGTTTGGCACTATATGTTGAGAATAAAATTATTTCATGATAAATTTCCAAAAAAATAATTGTTGTCAATCATGAATTCATGATATTTGCGGTGTAAAATATGTCTGTACGATAGCAGTATAGCCATAGACTTTTAAACTCACAGACATATTTAACAAAGATTGCCAAATACGGTTTAATCCACCGACAAATATAACAATAATGGCATAAAGACAGACAACTAAAATTGTGTTTACAACAGACACCTGTAAAAAAATTTAAGATATGCAAATTAATCTGCAGATATAGATCATCTTATATCAGAAACCACGTGACTCTATCCTCCATTAAATCAAGGAACCATTTACAAATATTATTTGTGTGGTTACAAATAGAATTCATTTAGTTAAATTATAATCTTGAGTTGTCTGTGGTGTAATAGTTCTCTATCTTGAGTTGTCTGTGGTATAATAGTTTTCTATCTTGAGTTGTCTGTGTTATAATAGTTCTCTATCTTGAGTTGTCTGTGGTATAATAGTTCTCTATCTTGAGTTGTCTGTGGTATAATAGTTCTCTATCTTGAGTTGTCTGTGGTATAATAGTTCTTTATCTTGAGTTGTCTGTGGTATAATAGTTCTATGAAGACATGTCTTGTTGTTCAACTGACTTGTAAATTTGTGTATTTTTTTTAGACACTATATAAATTTTAAAGCCTCTGTTCTAGTTATTCTGTTTCTTTTAATTCTAAATTTTCCGTTACACTTCTCCCATCAAACTTTAATAACCTTTACTTTTTTATTTCTTAAATTAGATCTTCATTTGTAAAATAAAGTATTTTTAACTTTTATTATAAGCTTGGGAACCCAGTGTTGCCCAGATTACTCTGAGTTATTCCCGCCGATAACCCGCGCTTGGTCATAAATTACGACTTTAGCTATGTTTCCCTTTAAAAGCCGACCCATCCAAACCCAAGCTAAAAACATTCCCATGGTTCTCCCAAGTTCCCCAATTAAAATTTGAGGCAATTCTGTCATGGAATTCCTGTGTTATGATCTGACATACAAACAAACAGTTTCGCTGTTCAAGTCGACGCACTCAATTAAGAATCTCAAAACCAAGCTAAGAACCCCAATCAAAATCAGAGGCAAATCGGTCAAGTAGTTCCTAAGTTATGATCGGACAAACCAACAGACAGTCTAACAGAGATTACAACTTTATATATATAGATATTATTCTGATGTTCATCTAAACATGTCAACACCTAAATAAATAAAAGATGTTTATTGGATGCAATATTTTTTTAAATTTAGTGTCTTCTCTCATTATGAATAATGATTTATATTGCTTCGTAAAAGCTTACAAAGCGATCTAAACAGTCGGAAACATAATACATCAACTGTGCCATATGAAGATTTTAAAACTGTAAACTGCATCTTATTGTTGGTCAAAGGAGTATTTGACAATATTTAGTTTGTTAATTTATTTCACGTGCTTATAACTAATTGTAGCTTCTGTCCTGTATTTCCCTTGTATATTTGTAAATACCTCATTCCGTAGTTTTCCAGACTTTCCTTATCCTCTTTATATATTTCTTCAGAAGCCAACCCCTCATCCCCATCCCCCCCCCCCTGTGCAGTGGATATATTAAGTGCATTCTCCCACCCTTTTCCTACGTTAGAAACGGTTTTACTGGTTTAGTAGTTAAACCCTTCATATTTCCAAACTACCTTTTTTCTATTTACTCATTTAAAGATATAGAAAAGTATTTTATATATAGAAAAGTATTTTATATATAGAGAAGTATTTTATATATAGAAAAGTATTTTATATATAGAAAAGTATTTTATATATAGAAAAGTATTTTATATATAGAAAAGTATTTTATATATAGAAAAGTATTTTATATATAGAAAAGTATTTTATATATAGAAAAGTATTTTATATATAGAAAAGTATTTTATATATAGAAAAGTATTTTATATATAGAAAAGTATTTTATATATAGAAAAGTATTTTATATATAGAAAAGTATTTTATATATAGAAAAGTATTTTATATATAGAAAAGTATTTTATATATAGAAAAGTATTTTATATATAGAAAAGTATTTTATATATAGAAAAGTATTTTATATATAGAAAAGTATTTTATATATAGAAAAGTATTTTATATATAGAAAAGTATTTTATATATAGAAAAGTATTTTATATATAGAAAAGTATTTTATATATAGAAAAGTATTTTATATATAGAAAAGTATTTTNATTTCCCACAAAGAACTAAACGCGTGGATTTCGCGGTTGAATGAGACAAGCATAATACAGACTAGATAACTATTTACTAGATTAGTTTAAACAAGATAAAATATCATAAAAGAATCAGTTTACAATGGACAGCAAAATTTGGACAATAACATTTTCAAAAGGGGACTTAAACATATCCTTCAGCTGACCTAACCTTGATTATTGGATACATGCCGTGTGTCTAAAAATTCAGGCATTCAGGCTAAATGAAAATCAACATTCAGCACCATTAAGAAAAGTTAAATGTCCATTTTGTGTGAGACCCCAGAGAAGGTTAATGGATACTCAAAATTTCAAAAAGTAAATGAGTTTTTGCCACAAGCTTAAAATTGTAATCCCCATATTCATATGCAACCCGATGTTGTAGATCTTTAATATTTCAAACTATGAATTATGTTCGAGCAAAGAGCCAAAGTTTGAAATAGCAAAGGTTTACATCATCAGGTTTGAAAGAAATAGGGATTAGAAAATTTGAGTGTGTGGAAAATACTCAGTTCCATTTCATAAATTAATCTATATTATGAAGAAAAAAACAATTTGTGAAAAGAGAAAAAATTGACTTAAACTCTAATTTTAAAAATCCCAGATCTTTGTAAGCATATTAAATTTTGCTATTTCAAATTTCTAATTTTGCCTAAGCAATACCTGAACAAATGGTTACGCTATTGATTTGCAAAAATTAAAAAAAATTGAATTTTCAATAGTAGTTTCTTTTATCATCTTTCAAAAGTAGTTCAAGTTGGGTTGTAAGTTTACGTATTGTTTGAGTTACGAATCAACCTGATGTTGTGTTTAAGAAATGAGTGATTTGACCTAATATTGAGTCATTCACTATTCACCAAGCATGGATGCGTCAACGGTTTCCGTTCAAATGATTTCTTATCTAAGATTTTTATTTTGACATGGGGCGAACTTTTGGAATAATTAAGTGATTTAAGTTGGAAATATTTGAAAACATCCAAAAATAGAGGTTGTGGGAATATTCCCCCAATTAAAAAAAAAATATAAAAAATAGGAAAAAAGTAAAAGGACAGTTACACATTTTTTTGTTTACATTGAGTTTAATATAAACTAGTGGTGGATTGTTAGTATTTTTCGACAATAAACTAACAACTTTAAGATATACAAATGATAGATTTATTTGTAATGTTTAAACAAATGAAATAGACTTTATGGGTTGTGGAAAAGGTATAGGTTTTACGCAAAACGGGCATTTTTTAGCATCTTTTTAATTCGCAACGATTTTTGACATCCTTTATGTTTGTTTATATCTTTTACACTTTTTAAATCAATTTTAGTCAAATCATAACTCATGAACCCCTTGACTGCTTAGCCTCAAATTTTGGGGAGAACCATGGGAATGTTGATAGCTTAGTTTAGAAAGTCTAAGTAGAGTGGCAAAAAAGCTAGTATATACTATAGAAATGTATGTACATATCTATATTTATGTTTACCATTGCTTAACCATTAACATGAGTCAGTATAATGTCCCTGTGATGCCTACTCCAGGTTTGCAGTAATGGACATATTATGTTAAGTGTCAACCAAGGAGAATAGTAATATCAAAAAGTAAAAACTATTTTTTAGTATTTTTTTATTAAAACTTTTGAATATGTTTATTGTTTTGTTTTCAGTAAAGAGACATTTTTGACATTTTGAAGTCTAGAGAAACTACAAAATATACAGATATAGGTTTCAAGGGTACCGTTGTAAATCGGCATTTTCAATTCCTTTTAATAGTAAATTAATTTGAAAATTATCATTGAAATCCAAATACGAGGCTTAAAAGGACTGCGCAATACAAAAACTTTTTTGGAACAATTGTTTGATTTCGATTTCCTGAAAATATTCTCTTTGAAAATATGTGTTTTATATCTTGTATGTATATGATTTATGAACTGACACTTATGTATATATAAATTGTTGTATATCTATATATTACAATCATATATCTCTCCCTAGAAGCAGATCTTTATATATATATAGTTATTTTTCTGAAAGTTTGTTAAGAATATTTGTCAAAAACTCCGATTTTCTAATCCCAATATCTTTGCAACCCGATGTCAAACCGTTGATATTTTAAACTATTAATAAAGTTAGATCAAATAATCTTTGTTTTGAAATATCAAAGGTGCCTTTTACGCTCTTTCCAGCATTTCTTATTCAAAATGCGTACATTATTTTGTGCAAAATATACATTTTTATCTTTAATTTTACCATTTGAACTTTTTTCAGCGAACCATTTAAAGATTCCAATAACTGCAAGCATAATGCTAATATTTCTCCGTAATGTCGGCTAATGGTGCAAACTTCAATAGAAAAAATCCCAATTAACTTCGCTAATTAAGTATCTCGAGAAATATTTTTGTAAAAAGTTTTCAACGCTTAATTACAAATTTCAAGGGGGATGAAAGCGTCTGATTGATTTCATCTTAAAACTAAATATAGGTTTGCACAAGACGCTTCGCGCCCATTTTCTAGATTTAATTTTAGCTGTAAAAATTGCTATTCAAGCTTACATTTTTCGGTGTCTGTTTGTCTGTTTAAATTTGCTCATTTTCAAAAATAACAAGCGAAACATTTTTCTGGACAAAATGTTTCATCTATTAGCATCCATAAACCTTCCCTGGGGGTTATACGAGTTGGTAGGATTAGTTTAGCCGTTTTGATATTTATTCAGGAAATTACTTGTTGTTGTTGCATATGTTTGTACATTTAATTTTCTTATCCCCCGCCGTGCCCCCCTTTTTGTTAATAAACAATGTTAAGCTTTTGAGCTTTGCCTTCTATGTTACCATTTTATCTTTGTCAATTAAAAGTTTTTTAAAAATCGTAGATTTGTTCCTTTCCATCGGTGGATTTTCAAATTTTTTCAAAAGTCAGAATTTTTTATGGGGTCCATATATATAACAAAAATGTATTTGATAAATGTTTTTGTGAGGAATAAGTTCCACACATAATCGGATACTTCTGTGTAAAAAATCTTTTTGCTCAAAATAAAATAAAACCTGTTCCAGAATTGTAAAGATCCAAGGTGTGTTGGAATATTGAAGGGAAAATATGTAAATACTTATATTTGAGGTTTATAAAGCAATAAAGCTGACAAAATCCAGTCAAGAAGATGCTTGATATTTGAATATTGAGTTGAATCAAGATTTCAGATTTAGATATAGATCGAACCAAATATGTATACTGAGTTAACCCTAATTCTGCTGGAATATATTTAACCCCTAACCCTCCGGCCCCCTTTTACTCTATATCCCTAGCTGAATGGTGTCCATATCTTTATAATAAAGCTCTTCGCTCATATATAGATATTGTAGTGTCACACATCGTTTCGCTTTGATTTTACCGATCTAACTAACTTACTAATGCTTTATTGTAGCCCTTAACATGTACAATTTAAAAATAAAAAACTTTTTTATCTACAGTTTTTAGGACGAAATCTGGAAAATTTTAATAGTTTCTTTGCTTGAGAGCTTGCAACCTTTAAATCGAAATCCCCTCAAACCCATATCTCACACTTCAGTTTCAGTAAAAGTAAATATTTCCATTCACTGATAGCGCTGATTGAAAGATTCTTAACTCTGATTGGATGATGAGATAGATAGAAAGATAGATGTTACCGCCATACTGTTTCTATTGGTTCAGAATAGACAACAAACACATGACTGAACCCTGAATAGATCAGGCGTTATTGGACCGGCATACAGGAGTGAGCTCATTATCTACTCCGCGTGTTCTATATATAATAGCTGATAATAGGTGCATGTTCTTTCACCACACCGGGAGGAGAAATCAACTAAAGTGAAAAAGAAGAAAAGGAGAGAGAAAGAGAAAAAATGTTATCCCAGGAAAAGGGAGAAAAATTAATGTAGTTTGAATTTCTAATACCCAATTCTAGTTTAAAAATTAAAACGGGGAAAAAATTAAATTTTTTAATTTTCTTTTCATGAAGTTTTTGTAATCTGAAGATGGAAAAGTATTCCAATTAGATCGAATTATCTTCACCATAAGTTTCATGAAATCAAGATATGAAGAAATGAAGATATTTTAGCAAGAATTTTATTCCTCATAAGTGTACGCAACTGGAAAAGTTTAATGAGATAAATTCTTCTCTTCCCAAAAAGAAAATCAGAAAACGGAAGAAATTTTAGAAATCTAAAGTTCGAAAGACAGATCAAAAAACAAAAAAATATCTATCGTAAACTTTTCCTTATGAGGAAGTGGTATGAAAGATACATTTTCTTTAAATAAATTATTTTCCTTTATAGAGCAGTTTTATTATTTTGTTACTGCAAACAACAGTAAAGTAAGTTTTATTTTTTGGGGACACATTTGTACGCTAAAAAACAGGGAATAACAATCATCTTACTTTATTACAGGGGGGGGGGTCAACTTAAAGTAAGAATATACAACCATGGAGGTCAGCTTCTACAATTCAACCCTAAGAGATTAGTATTTTGTCGTGTTTTTAACCATCTTCATATTCTATTCTTGTCTGGGTTTCAGGATGTTTGTATCCAATAAACGTCAAAACGGCTGAACTGATCGAGCCCAATTTTTGTGTGAGACCTCAAATGACCCCGGGAAGGTTTATGAATTTCAAAAATTTTCCTCCAATAAAATTCGATTTTCTTTAAATTTTGAAAATCCACGAAATTTTTATAACATTCGCAAACTTTTTTGGGGGTTATGTTTCACAATGTTCACAAGAGAAAATGTTTGTAATTTGAATAGAAGATGGGCGCGAAGCGTCCTAAAAGCCTAGTATATAAATACTTTTCTTGTCTCTGACTGGGTGTTTGTCCGATTGTATCCAATAAACATCAAACGGCTGAACCGATCGGGCTCAAATTTTACGTGGGACCTCACAAGACCCAAGGGAAGGTTTCTTGTTGCTCGAATCACAAACAATTGTTTTCAAAAGTTTTGGATTTTTGTCAAATTTTGAAAATACGCTAAAAGAAATTATTAAATACGCGAACATTTTTGTTATTGATTTTAATATGTATAAAGAGAAGGTGCTCAGAGATAGGATAATTAACATCTAAATAGAAGATGGGCGCGAAGCGCCCCTCAAGCCTAGTTTTTTAAATTATAATTTCTCAATAAATTTCGAGAAACCAATCCAAATAACCGATTAGTCGGCCCTGAAAGGTTTAAAGTTCTATTAGAGTGAATCATATAATTTGTTTTGTGTTAAAAGGTTTTCGGAGCAATTTCTCCTGAGAAGAATAAGGATATTTCCGGTCTAGGCTCTAAACAGAAATTAAAAGATGCAAAATATTGCCAGTTGAGGACAGTATGTACAGTATGAACAGTATGTTCAGTATGTACAGTATGTACAGTATATACAGTTTGTAAAGTGTGTACAGTATTTACAGTATGTACAGCATGTACAGTATGTATGTTCAGTATGTACAGTATGTAGTGTACAGTATGTACAGTATGTACAGTATGTACAGTATGTACAGTATGTACATAATGTACAGTATGTAAAAACAGTATGTATTGTACACATGAACGTGTTAAAGTCGTCAAAAATGGTTATTTAATTTTTAATTTACTCTCTTAATACATATAACTCTAATTAAATTGTTTTAAAAGCTTAATCATAGATTTAACTGATACGATTTTTAAAAAAATCTAAGTGCCGGTTTTTCAAGATAAATTGATCTGCATCATTTGATCTCAAGAAATTACCATATAAAACCTTGTAGCTATAAATATATTAACAAACATCAAACACTTTTTTGATACAAAAAGAATGATCAAATTTGTCAAATTTGTAACACATTTTAAATTTATTACTTACCAATTGTGTAAAGGACAGGGTAACGATACTTCTCTCCATGTTTACTTTTATCTTTTTCACTTATTTTTAAACATTAGAGTTGATATTTTGTTATTTGACTGATCAAACTCTTGTTGTCTCGGATACACTGAATTCATTAATGGTTTTTTTATAATTGGTTCCATAAATTTCGGAGTAAATACAATACAAACTTAAATTCAGGATAAAATTGTAACTTGTTCTGAAATTGAAAACAATGTGGGTTACTTTTAAACTTAAACAAAGAAAAATATTTAGAAAAAAAAATTTCAAATAAAGAAAATTTCCCGAAGTTTACGATTGCGGTGTTGTCCTGGACTGACCGATTGTTATAAAGAACTGAGTATTTATTGTCAACTCTTGGAATTAACCTGTAAATACGCAATCTAGGGCGTAGATAGATAGATAATATGATAGATAGATAGATGAATAGAAAGATAGACTTAAAGATTCAATTATTTTACTATATAAGTTAAGTTTTTAAATAAAGTTAATCGTTGAGTAACTCTTTTCCTTTAAAGTTGTAGCACGCCAAAATATAATAACAATAAAGTACATATGCTGATGCAGGACATTATTAAATAATCCAACATGATTTACACTTTTTTTAATTTTAAAATGTTCAAATGAGATATATAGGATGGAAAAGTAAGCTTAATGCAAGGAATATGCAAAGAAAAAAAAACTATCATTGCAAAAATGTCTGTTGTGTGTACGTCCAGTGCGCTGTATATGCCACAAAATCTGAACAATTCTATTTTCGGTTCGCTACATCTTTTAACAGTTTCCGAATTCAAGGCCGGTTAAATGATAGAAGGGGGGGGGGTTGTANNNNAAAAAAAAGGCCTTAAAGAATGTAAAGGGTTGAAAAATATTAGACCGGCAACTTTAATAGTTTGGGTGCTATGGAGTGTGGGAAAAAATGCCTAAAAAAGGGTAACAAATTTTTTGTAAAACAAATATTAAAGTCTGACACATGTTTCTACATCCATTTTTCGAGGGCTTTTCAAAAAAATAGTTTTTAGATCTGTAGCTTTAGTCAAAAAAAGTTATGGGCTATTTTAAATTTTTTTCACAGACCGGACTTTTTTCCGCCCTGTACCCTACCCTATAAATTAAAAAAAATATTTTTTTAACAAAAAAATATATTAATTACTATCCATTAAAAGTCACAAAATTTCACGGTGATAGTGTTAAAAATGAGAGTGCTAGGAAAAAAACTACAGAGGGGTTGGGGTGCGCCAAACGCCCCCCACCCCCCGCCTGTTTAGGGTTAAACGACCTTTTTCCTTCTTTATTAAATTAAACCTGAAGGACAAACCACAAATCTCTTTATATATATGTCAATGAGATTAAAATATTTTCAACATTTTGCATCAATTTTCAAGACTTGGCCCCTGATTTTACATCTTTAAACTCACTTAATATTTGTTTAACCAAAAAAGTCCAAATAACTGAGAAATAGAGCAACTGATTACTCGCCACACACTCTGATTCTCAGATTTTTATAATTTTGCAACCTGACATTTAATTACATCTAAAAAATTTCCCAAAACTGGAAGATTTGTTACGCATGCAAAGGCTTGCAGTTGCAGATAAGTTAAGTTTATAACTAACTTTTCACAAAAATGAAATGCAGACAGCCTAAAAAAAAGATGGCACATGCAATATAAACATACTCACAGTTCTTATATATTTATATAGATCACTATAGTTTCAGTAGAAGTAAATATTTCCATTTACTGTTATAGCGCCGATNTTGAAGATAACGTCGTTTTTCTGACTACTCGAAAAGTGTTTACATCAGAACATTTCTCCAGTCTTTCTTCTAAGCAAGAAACCATTTTTTAAAGGAAACCACAAATTAAAATAAACAGTTTAAAGAACAAAAACATGGATAGCCAATTCACACTTTATCAGATAATGCGTTCAAGGTTAGTGTTTGCATTTTGAAATTACGCTTACAGTCCCTTTAATAGGTAAAATTGTGCAATTAAAAGGCAAAACTGGATTTTAAATTAGTGCGTCTCCTCTCTTTTCTTTATTGTATGTACACAAAATATATTTGTGAGCCGAACAAAAGGAATATTACTCGAAAATGGGAAATAAGGCGAATTGGCTAGGGAAACACTCTATTCTTCATGCACACATAGACGATAACTTCTTCTTGAAAAATGTATATTTCAGTAAAGAGGTTTCCTACAAAATAAAAATTGTTATTGGCGTACATGTATATAAATAATGATTGTTAATAAATATTAAACTAGTTGGGTGTAACTGAATACATGAATATTGTTGTAAACGAACAGTTGGTTAAAGAAATATGTATCATTGAGAATTGAACAAAGGCTTAAGGTCCTGTTGTGAATCGCAATAAAGGTTTAAAAGGTATTGTTGTGAATTAAACATACGGAACTTACGATCTAAAATACTTTAGCACGGGAATAGTTGTTTGAATTGAAGTCTAAAGCAATTTAATGTTCTGAAAAAAATATTTATGTGGTTAAAGTATTTTCACTGTTTATTTGTAAATGATTCACTGAAATTATGTTTAAATCGGTTCTTTTAATGCACGGAGGAACAGTTTGTAAGAGACGACCTTACAACAGGGTAAATTTAGGGGTATGGTTCACAAACATATATTTTATAGCAAAATCACAAGAAAGCGCAGCGATTTAGGTATAATCTAAATATATAAATAGATTCTAACAGCCATAAAGAAAATATTTGGGGGCGCCAGCAGCACGCCAAAACCATGATTTTGTCAGAGTAGCGTGTTGAATAATCCTATTTTAGGAGTTTTCAATGAAATAGCGGGTTTTCGGTCGAAATTCTTAACTATAACATAACATTTAAAATTCTTTATCCTCACATGAATTCACAATTAACTGTTATACGTTTATTGAAACATTTAACAGAATAAGATTTGATCAAATACAATAGGTGGCAACAGAGAAATGGACCGATTATACATGACGTCATAAGTGTCAAATATTACAAGGAAGACAACATTTTCTCCCATTTGTTGACATGTTTTCCAAGATTGAATAAAAGTGTAAAAACAGATAATAAAGTGTTAACACTGTAGGATAAGCACTTTATTAGCACTAATATTATTAATTTTGTCGAACACATACAACTGTTGACACTTAAGTGACGAAAGAATACAGCTGTATTGAGAGTGTACAAATTCTACGTTGCCATTTATTGTATTTGATAATCTGTTTGGGTTTTCAACACTTCTTAAAGGGACTGAATAGAGAAAATTGCATGAACATTAAACCACTGCTTAAAGCTAGAAAACGACGATATCTTCCACATTATTAATCAGATGACTTTTTAATTTATATAAAGGAAAACGTTGTGAGATCATAAAATTTCCACGACACTTCGTTTAAATAAATTATAACTTTGGATTGTTAGAATTTATTTAAACATTTTGTTGGTGCAAATCCAAAAAATTCAGTAATTTGAGTTTTGTAAATATTTTGACCTTGACAATAATCTGTCAAGTTTGGAGTTTAATGGTAAGGTTGACAAGGAAAATCCACAATGAACCCAGCTATATATATATACAGAATTGTACTGCAGAAATATTGGTTGAAATATTAAGAAAACTGTGCCTTGCAGCAAGTGAGATTATTCACACGCTCTCTGTACAATTCTAATAAAAACAAATATATGGGGGTTCCTGGTATATATTCCTTAGTCTGAGTCAGACAGAGTACAAAAGATGGGTTGTATATTGTAAAGAAGGGGGCGGGACTGGGCGGGGGAGGGGCAGTGTGGGGGA